CATGAAACCTTAACATCTAAACAAAAAATTAGTTTTTCAGTTTTATTATATGTATATTTTATGTCAACAGGTTGTTGAACAAACAACTAAGAGAATCTCAAATTATACAAATTGTAACACTACTCAATAAACAGTTAGTTAAATTCAAAACCTCGGAATATCATTGAATGAACAATCAGACTGCTATCAGATTTTTCTAAGGAACTCTAAAATGGCGCACGGAATCCATTATTCTCAATTTGCAGTTCAGGGAAGCGCGGACGGCAGACACGGCGGGTGTCCCCCTTGATTAAACCCCGGGAAGTAAGAAGTAACAATTTGTGTGCATTTCTCTATTCGCCTCCGATTTATACAGTCGACCCAGGATTGCACTTGCGATTTAGATTTCCTCAGGTGTAAGTGTGTTTATTTGCGTCCTGTATCGCTTCCTTACTTTAATATATTTTATAGTTGCGCTTTGTTCTTTTCTTTTTTTTTGTCTTGGGGTGTCAACTTTTAAAGTGTTCTCTGTGCTTACAAATACATGTTCTGTTATTTTCATTTCGTGTTTCATTTATTTTTATTGGTGGAGTATTGGTACTCTTTGCGGGTTGAACGGGAAAAATATTGTTCAATAAAAAATAATTTTAGTTGAAATAAGAAACTACTGCTAGATATAATTTATTCATATGTGACGTATATGAGTAAATTATTTCCTCTTATGATTTTTTTAATTCCTAGAAGACCTACAAGCATCCTCCGTCTGTTGTTCTAGTTCCCCTAGTAATCCAAAAGGGTTTTTATGTAATTTGTTCTGTATGTGTAGGCTGAGGAGAATGAAGTATACATCTCCCGACCAACCTGCCTCTCAAATTTATCGGTGTCTCTTCAAATTGTATCCGTCGATAGCAACAGATATCGGCAGACATGGATCCATGGACCACCTGCAGTCTGCCTGCCGTTGATAAGTCGCTTGAGTAAATCCATCGGGCGCAGACCTGTCAAGCTGTTATGTAGATTGAAAAATATTATTCAGTATTATTATTTAAATAGGTATATGGTTATTACCAATTTTTTGTTTATCCAAGATTTAGAAATGCCTGCGTTAATAGTATAGAATGAATATACTATGAAGAAATGTCTATAAGAAAATAGACTAAAATGAAATGATACATTGAAAAGCTGAGAATTAAATACATTACATAGATACATATACCTAGCAAATTGATCACTGAATAAAGATGTGTATGTAACATCTTTATTCAGTGATCAATTTGCTAGGTGAACATGATGGTTTTAATGGCGTACCCATTATAGCAAGGTCTCGGAGACATTACTTCGAAGGAGCCAAGTAATGATATGTTTTTTAAAGTTGATGTCGTATTTAATATGATCAAGACTTTTATTTATAGAAATACTCGAATCAAAGATATATTTTTAGAATAGAAGCTGCATACAGCAATTGCTTATGATTGCAGATTATGATTTCCAATAATATTTTCTTTTTAATAACATTTCATATTCATTGGATTACAAATGAGAAAATAAATCGTCATATTAAAGGTTGTGGCTGATAGATATACAACTATATTAATAGTATTACATACACTAGTACATTACAGAGACTTCTTAGTTATTTCTATGAATATCATTGAAATAAAATTGTTACGAAACAATGATAGACATACCATCTACTTGGATTTCAGGCTCTAAATAGTATAAAATAATGTCGCTGTCCATTTCAGTCTGTGTCTCCGGTTACTTCTTCTAAATCAAGCACCGGGTTTTCATACGGATTTCACTTCAATCAGATATATTTTATGGAATGTAAAAATGCGAGTACATACACATTCCTATTGATATTATAAATACAAAAGTATACTTATCCGTCATTTGATATAAAGGTACATTGTATCATAAGTATGATAATAGAACATATTTTATATAAAAAAGGGCAGACGAATTTGTAGGTATATTATTTTGTTTAATTCTGTTACGACTAGCATTTGATATACATACGACCACTGCTAATTTAATATTTAACACATTTGACAGTCGGAATTTGAATAGTGAAGTTCGTAAGGCTTTCAGTAGTCAGATTTCTGCACTTAATATTTGTAGTCTCACAAATCCAGTAAAGATATAAATCCATAATAGTAGGGGAACTAAAACAATATAAATCCATGTAATGTAATTGAACTCCGCAAATAACACCTAATTCGATAAAATATCGGTATGTATACAGTTGATGAACCCAGACGAAGTCGGCAACGCCCGGTAGGAAGTTTATAAAATTGTCTTCTTAATGTATATTGACAGCTTTACCTAAAGACTGCTATAATGTCTTAAATCATTTAACACTGTTCCGTCGATGCTCGGCGCGTGCCTACTGCTCGTATTCGGTGATCTTCGCCTGACGTCGGAATTAAAATTAATAGCGGACTAGAAGCACGTCGTCGGCCGGTCGCACTCGGTCCATGTAATTTGTTTACTCGACTCGCTCAGGATTACGTCGCATGCCCGCTGAATAGGTAACTGAATGTGACTTTTACACACAGAACAGAGAACTGATCTATGTTTTTACCAGTACTAGTAACACTTTCGGACGCTTTTAATTAATTGATATTGGAAACCAATCAATGGTTTCATTTACCAACGTTAACTAAAACCTGTATTGAAATCAAATTAGAATTTGAATACATCGTTTAGAACCTACAGTATAGTTGTAGTTGTTTTATTTTTATTTTTTGTATTGCTAAACATTTTCTGTCTATAGCTAGCATAATGCTCTATAGATTTTAATTTCATGATATTTTATGCGAGTTGTCAAAGTCTGATTATATATTCATATCTGCCTGTCAGCATTCCGACATAATCTGAAGTTAATTGTGTGAACACTAAACCGAGTGAGATGGTTAAACGTCGCCTGAGTCCGGCGCCACTTGCCGGCTACCGGTCACCGGAGTTTCGATCGCACCCTAACATTGTTTATTGTATCAGTGTCGCAGTCCTCATCAAAATGCAAATAAGGTGTGCCCATGCCTCGCCGGACATTTGCCGCCATATTGAGTTATCCGCGATTCGTGCGATTGTACCTGAATTTCTCGGGAGAGATACGAATCCGAAATAATCTGTTTTGATATTTGATTGAACTGAATGTGTCTGGCTATTACACAGGTACATTTAGGTGGACGTTCACCAATTGAATGGGTATATTGTAGTATGAATATTTTATCATGCTATTTATCTATATAACAAAGATTGGATGTGACATGACAGATTTTTATTATTTGATTATATATACAAATGTATTTAAAATGCGTGTACATGGTTCCACTACGTTTTCATTATGTTTTATACTTGCGATTAATAATATCTATATACTATATCATCCTGGAATAAAATAACACAGGAAAATACATGAAACAAAATACTTTATTTTATTATAATATATATATATACAATCAGCAATTGTTCACCTCTCAACAATTAGACCACTGTCGTAGACCATTACTCATTAAATATACCTTATAAATCTACTTATACAATATTATCTATGCTAATATCAGAGAGATCTGTTGCTACTACGTGGGCCAGTGCTGGTAGGTAGCAGGTATAATACCTTGGCATCAGATATGTTGAAACGTAAAGCAATCATATATGATAAAATATAAAATAAACAAAATATAACATAAATGTGAAAATCTTTCGGTTTCTTACTTTGTTATCATTGGAATAAAATGGTTTTAATGACTTAACGGCTTAATGCATCTTATTGAAATTGGACGTAAAGGTATATTTTCAAACGAGAACAGATATGACTTTCTTTTCTCTCTAAATAGCTTAACCATACTCGAATTAGAATTTAAACATACAAGCTTTAGGTACGACGTCTCAAAATACAAGACCGGTTTAATTCCATACTAGACAAGATAATTTTACGCTGTTACAGTCGACCTTATAAATCCCCGGTTACGTGTAAGAGCCGGCTGTAGCACCGGAATGAATCGGTCGCACCGGGCCGCGCTGCATGTCGGGCGGTTAATAAGCTCCTGACGGGTTCAGATTTCGGTCGTTAGCGAGTAATTGTCGACACCTAATTAGTCCCGACACCCGACGACTCGTCTCCGGTGTCTCACACATGACCCGCGATATTTAATGCGGCGCGACATTGTTGCCCTGACGCCATGCGCCGCTTGCATTTATGCGGCAATCTGCATACGAATTTATATTTGCATACTATGCTTTTTTGTAGCATTTAGTAAGCCTGTTTTCAATAAAATTGTAAACTTGAAATAAAATACATACATATGGATGTTACGTTCAGCCGCTAAATTGTGAAAAGACATATATACATTGACAATGCGAAATTGTGTCTGTCTATCTATCTGTCACGATTTAACTGCTTATTATATATTGTAATCAATTTTGTTTTTGTCTAATGAAATCGAGCATAGGTGTCTTTTATCTGAAACTAACTATTCGCCCCGGCTTCGCTCGGGTGTACATGTATTATATATATAAACCTTCCTCTAGAATAACTCTCTCTATTAAAAACAAACCGCTTTTTAAGATTTAAGCGTACATAGGGACGGGCAAACAGCGATATCGACTATGTTTTATACTATATAATGAAAAGCAGATGAAGTCGTGGGTAACAGCTAGATTTATAAAACAGTTCGATTTCTTGCTTATTCTTCGCAATTGAATCCTCATTGTGAATGTGGAGGTTGAATAATAAAAAATGTATATTCAGCGGTACTTGTATTAAATTTGTTTCAAAATAGATTTTCTTTGTGCCTTTATATCAAATGATCTTTATTTATTTCATAGGAATTTCAACAACGACAACAACATACCGACACTTTTGTTCAGTTTTATTATTCCAGTTGGGATATTCAGAGGCATTGTCAAATGTCGATGATGTGGTAAAACACACCACTTGATGTGCTGAGGATTTTAAAAATAGCATAGACATAGTCAACTTTCTTAATGATGATTGAATTTAAATTTGTTCACAGGAATGGAGGCTATAATGTCAGAGTTTTTCAATGATACAACGACCGCCTTCTACATTATATTGATCGTGTGGATTGCCGATCAGTACGATGCAATTTGCTGTCACACCGCCATCGCTAAAAGACATTGGCTAAGGTAAGTGATGATTATTTCTAAAAGTATTAAATTCTGTAAATTTATACATCTTACAATAAAAATAAAATTGAGAATGGTTTGACATAGGTACGTATAGATTTTATCAAATATGACAATACTTTATGAAATAGATGTTTTCGTTAGTTTTTAATGTAGCGGTTCGTAAATGGTAACATTGTATAGAATGAAATAGGCGTATTATTTTATGACTTGTAGATAAAAATAAATATATTACACTATAATGGTCAGAAGATTTTGTGACCAACAATAAAAACTTAAAATGTCAGTACCTAATAAAAAGCATATTTATAGTACACAGAAAGAAATTTTACACATAAAGTGTTTTCTACCTAACATGATAATTGATTTTCGTTCACTACAGAAGCAAGATATAGTTAATAATCTGTGATTTGCTTATTGGAACACTGTCTATCTCTGTTTATTTTGTTTTTCTGCATGTTTCATAAACTATTGAATAACAATTATTTTATAGACAATAATATCAAATATACAATCGTTTTTTTTAAACTATTCTGCACAATAATGTAACAAACCCATGGCACGTTAATAATTCAGATTAGAGTTCAACTAGGTTTTGCTATGTCATTTCATTCTGTTTCAAGTTTGTTGCGAAAGCGATTTCCGTTCAGTAACAAACTGTCAGATATTTTAATTCTACAATAAACGTTACTAGAATTCAATAGAATGTTAGTGCTTATTGAGCACTAGCAATACTTACTGAGGGGCAGAGACACTATATGAGCGAAATTTAACTACTTGATTTTTAGGGAATATGCGATATTTTTAAACAATGCAAGTGAGTATTTAAAGTTGTATTTTGATCGACTGCTTCATACATTATCATATAAGTATTATGGTAACGATTGGTTGAGAATTAGGATAAAAATAATGAGTTTCGTAAGCAATAACTCCATTACAAATGTGATATTCTTATCGGTCTGGCTACTTTCGCATTGGCCTCACTTACTGCTTCTAATTTATTAAGATCCACGTAATTGACCTGACCAAAACCAAATTATATTCTTGCGTATAAACTAAGACCAATAGTGGTTTTTTATCATTAAGTATAATATACATGACTATAAATTTAAAATCACTTCATAAATGTGGTAACATTTTGGAAATGAAAACGCATCCCAATTAGTGGCTGTTAGTTCATTGAAAAGTACTCTTCTGTCGACCGAAATTAATTTGCTTATTGAAAGCTTGCATTCACGTCCGCAGTTATTTGGGTACACTGGGGGGTATATATGAGTACAGTGAACGTAACCGTAAACTGTAATGATTGTATAAGTTATCGTTATGCAGTTACGTAAATTAATATTGTAAAGAGAGGTAGGACAGGTATTATTTTTGTTTGTAATCTATAAAATTTTAAATTCTTTAACCTATAGAGGCTTAGTATATTATCTGTAGTTTTGTAAGACAAGGTAACAAACAGACAGACTGGTGGTTAGGTTAGGTCACCATCTATCTATTTAGGTAGACAGACAATATGATAGACAGACCCACTTTCACACTTACCACCAAAGGATAGGACCCAAGCAGATAGACCCACTTTCATGCATTTGTAGATGGATAAATAATCTTACGTACTTAACTGTATCATAAATGTTAATCAAATGCCCATAACTCTGATCTTCTATTGACCTAAGTAGTACTGTATCAATTAATAAACCCTGCTTCTGGTCTGCACTTATATTAAGACTAAAGTATAATTGAATCCTAATATAAACCAAACTAAACCTTAGATTTAACGTAATCGGGGGAAAAGGTCACAGTAATAACCTTAACAAGGTGATAATAATTGCTTTTACGTATACGTGCGGCACAATGTGTGGACCGTACTTGTGGCCCTCTATTGACATTTGTGGCGACATTGAATGAACCATGCATTCGACAAATTATACGTGTAGCTGTTTGCTTATATCTCCTATTGGTATTTGTTCGGAGCTCATTATTTTATGTGCCATCCGCCATGTTTGTTTACAAATGTCGATGTTTCATTTCTGTTTCGTTGCGTTTTTTGTTTAGATACCTTATACCCTTTTAAACGGACCGTGACGTCTATTTTTATACGTAATTTGAAATTCATAAGTATGATCTACAAGTATAAATCGGACAAAGATTGTTAAAGATTTTTTGAAACATTGAATATTTATTATCATGTCCGGAAAAAATCTCAAGAAATGTTTTTATTATATTTTTCATTGGTTATGTAAAAAAGATTTAAAATTCTATAACTGCTCGCAACTTTGCATGCCTGGTGTAGTTTAGTTGAGATTTTCATCAAAAAATTTTCAAAAAAATCCTTGCTTAGCGGATGTTTATGTTACAAAATAAATCCAAGGTCTAGATTTTCGTTTCCTAAATTTAATAGTTTTGGATGTCCATTGATAAGACGATTGACAAAACAAAAGTTAGGGGTATCAATTTTATGATTATAAACTAATAGAAAATCATGTATCAGATAGATTACTCTATCAGTAAGATCTATTAGTTAGAGCGTAAAATGCTCTAGAAACCTAACGTTCACGTACACCGAGTGAACTTTGTTTTTACGCGTAGCTCCCTGAATCGTGAGCCTCCTTAATCAAAAGGCGTCCAGGCACGAAGCAATTTGGCTGGTCGTCCGTACGGGCAATAAGGAGTGAGCGCTATTAAAACAAGCGCAAATAAAGCAAATTGAAAACGGCACCGCTTTTCCCCCTCCGCCCCCTGGATGTGGAGGTTAGCACTACCCTGCCCCCCCGCGGTCCACAAGTACCCTGCGAAAACAATGCTGTTGGCGTCTTGAGGGACCTTTGCAACATCTTAGCCACATCGTTTTTCCAAGTATTACATACCAACGTACAGAAAAATAAATTTATTGACCCTATCGAAACACGATATATTCTTTGTTGCATGAAATAACTTTTATTAGAATAAATTTCGTTTCATTGTATGTATTTTTGATATTTTTATACAATTGTTAAAGTATTTATTGTTCTAGTAAAACAAAATTTTTTGTTTTAAAATAAAAATATTTTTAATGGAATTATTAGTTGTAAAATGATTAAATGTTCTCAGGACAATTCATACAGAGTCTCATGCTGCGCAGAGCAGTGTAAAGGGTATTAGGAAACTGATATAAATACGTAGACACATTTTTTTGTAAATACATACATAAAATAAAAAATACCCAGACTGATCATACCAATGAATACAAATGTTTGTGTGAATTAGGGCGGTGTGCTAAACCCATAGACTACTGTGACTGTCGTATTGTATATTAATATTTGACATGTCTAATTAATCCAAGGTGCTGCGTCAAAATAATTTTTCTATCTGATCTTTTTATTATGTAAGATCTGTCTTGGCTTTTATTTTATTCATTTTTGAATCGTTTACCAAAAAATATTTATCTATATGAATACAGTCTACAGAGGTCAGTTTTTAATAACAGTAGAGTTGTTAAACCGTTAACATAACATTTTGAGATAGTGTTAATAAGCGTAAAGGCAATGTTTGCGGAGGGTCGCTTTCGGAGGTCACGATCTGTTGGTGCAGTCATGTGGTGGAGCGATGGGCCGGCGTGCGGTCGTGTAAAATCGGCGACCCCGTGACGAGCGGCTCCCCGCATAAATCTCCGCGACCGCCAATTAAGGCCCGCCCCGACAGTTTGTCTACGACGCTGCCCTGATTGCTTTCTGCTACGATCGCCTGCCAACCTCTGATCCATGGACCTAGAAATTGTAGGACATGGTTCTGTTGGAAAATCTAAGTTATAGGAATAGATTTAAGAAGTAAACTTTGAACAAAGTAATCTGCGTATCCATTTCTGCCGCTAGGAAACTGTTTGAAAACTATGTTTTGATTTAAAAGTTGAAATTATAGGGTCCGTAAACATGACACTTTAGTTCTCAAGAATAGTAACTCAATGAGGATTGATATAAGAGTCACAAATTCACTTTGTGATATTTGTGGGTTTTTATCTATAGGTTACAAGTTATCCGTCAGATTGTCAGTTTATATATAGTTTTGCGAAGAAATTCATTATGGTATTTTTGTTATTTAAGTTTATTTATGTATATCCCAAGCATTTTTCTTAATTGGCGGCGGTTATAGGTATATTTCTAACCTCACCACGGTAGCATTATATGTATATGGATAGAGTGTCGCTATTTTGGATACTGTAATTGCTTGAAAGTAAGATATTGTTTTGGTATTAATGTTGTGGTAAGAGATAATTCATATCAATTCTGAAGTTAAACGTATAAAATGGTAAAATGGTACAAACAGTAAGATCGTACGTATAGATCTGTAATAATAACATTACCTGTATGGCTATACTGACATCATAGGTTAGTACAAAATTACTGACACAAATAAGAAGAACAATGCCAAGTGTTAATTGCAGTTATAAATACTTGTACATAAACACAATTCGACGACGGTATCGATTTTTTAGGATTTATTTTATGATCAGTGCTATCAGTTCTGCTTTTCCCATAGGTTTGTGTGTGTAACTATTTCTTTATAGTTTACTACCGTAGTAAATTGTAATACACCATAACTATATCGTATCATTATATATCATATTATTTTTCGACACAGTTATTTTTTCTCCTACAGAGATAAAATAAATCTATACAAATAAATAAATCAAAACCATTTGACTGATAATGATTTTTTTCTCTTTTGGTACAATGGTTTAAGTTCCGAGCACTCTTTTATAGTATGTGTATTAATTCTCATACAAAAAGTCTCCTAATAGAAAATTGACATAGTTTTGACTGTTAGAACTTTTTGTAAGTGCGCACAAAGCCGTATTAAAAGAAACCTACAATTAATTGGTGACATTGAGCTAATCTACGCATTTTTAATTCTATATCATTTTGCTTTGCTAGTTTTTAAAATAAACATATTTTGTTAAGCTAAGTATATGTTGTCCTTGTAATAATTAACGCAACGGTTTACGTAATTTATAATGCCTCTAT